AAAAAAAAAACCTCTTGTTAAAATACGTTGATCTTGGCAAAGATCTATCCAAGGCATCACCACTACAATAGATTTAAGCAGAGCCACAAAAAGCAAGCTTACTAGTGCCAAAACAAGCAGGAAAATAAACCCATTTCCCCTTCTCTATACGGCAAGTAATAAAAGTACCTGTTAAAAATCAAATCAAGTTGACAAAGCAATGTTAAAATGGCTTGGAACACTGCCAGAGAAAAGACCAGAACAGCTATTGAAAAATGATGTGCACTGGACTAAAGCCCACTTTGCATCATCACAGGAAAAGAGTTAAAAACCAATACAATGGGCATTATTGCTATCATCAATTATAACAGTTGGGCATATAGTTAAAATACCAAATAAAGACAAAGCAAAACATTTCTGTCAAAGGYGAAAGATGTGTGTTTCTTCATTCAGAGTTAGCACTTCAGTCTGAGCACCTTCTTCCTCATCCATTCTTAGTCAGAACTGCTTATATCTGTTTACACAGCACCCAAAACAACATAGACTGCATCAGCACCAACCACTACAGTAACATATTAGAGGACATAAACAAGCTCAGTGTACAATTAAGAAGCCTTAAAATCTTCAAAAAGCTTGGGTATTTTAATGATGTCAGGAAACTAAATTGTTTCTTTAAAAAAAAAGTATCCCTTGGGATAACTTTTTAATGCACCTTTTCTCTCAACTGAGAAGAGGAAATCACTATTTTTAAAAAATATCCATTAAGAATACAATTTTCAGAATGTTTTCAATTCATCAGTCAAGTCTAATGCATACTGTAATGCCAGTAGGATGACCAGACTCTTATTCACCATTTTCCTAAATTTTCTTCTAATCAATGGCATCAAACAGGTACAAATATGGTTTTGTACCTGAGAATGCAGGTTTGTCCAAGTATTCTAATATTAATCCACATTAAACCATAACAGACCATATAAACTTCCCAGATGAATGTTAAACCTGGCTCTCAAACCACTGAGAGGGTGAGAAAATTTACATATGTGAGAAAGAGAACAGGATAAAATTCGTTGCTTTTTTGGTTTTTTTTAAGCTGAAAACAGAGCCACAAGAACTTGCATAGGTGAATATGGGAAAAAGTATTTTAGTTACCAAAATACTGTGAAATACTTGATTTGCCCACTGAAAAGCCCAAGATAAATATTTTTTTTTCAGCTTAGAGGTGTATTTCATTCAGTTACATTGTGCCATTCTAGAGAGAAAAAACACTAGATTCATGTATGTTTTGTCAAAAACACAACACACCTTCTTTTAAGCACTGTAAATAGGAGTTAACAGGGCTGTGGAGCCAACAGCATAACCAAAATGAGAGAAAAAGAGAATTCACAAGAGAACAATGTGGCATGCAAGAAACTGTGCAGTCCAGAGCTTGCTTTGCTTTCTTAATCAATCTAGCAACAGCTTACTCAGTTTTATTTGGGGYTGCACAAGGATGTGGAGTTAATACCAGCCTGTGAATTCTCAGCACACTGCAATGGTGTTGTTAGTGAAAAAGTGGGGAATAACAGGTACCTCCTTCATCAGATGGCCTGGTTATCTCACTGCAGTAAGAAAAGGTGGGGTTCGTGTCAGAGCCATCTGATTTATAATCTCCCACACTGGTAGAATGCAAATACTGCTTACTGTAACGGCTTGCTCTTTCTACAAAGGTAGAAAGAAATAAAGAATATCACAGTAAGAAGATGACAGAAGWGCAAAGACAAGCAACAACATAAACCCCACCACTGCTAACACTGCTATTCATATACTGATGACACTAAAATTAGAGAAAAATKAATTCTTCACAATTTTGTATCCATTGTGAGCACCATTAGTTCCAAAGCTTGCTTCAAAATCTAATACAATTAAGCTTGTTCTTTGCTTTAAAAGAACAGCAGAAATGTAAGGTGGTATTGAGGTACTAGAAAGGGAAAGGATAAAGATGAAGAATATAAAAGTTTTCAGAGGAAAATCAAAATACTCCTTTATCCCACCATGCATACAAGTGCATGTAGAAATACTGCTGTATGTTGTTGAAAAGAATATCTGAAGTGCCAAAGTAGTAAAGAAAATAAGGGTGAAAAATTAARCGTTCAAAATAAACACTCCTATGCAGGAAAATAATCCACAAACTTGTAAAGCCAAAACACTGCTCCCTGTTATTACATTACTTTCTCTCCTTTTCCATCTATCCTTAAATTATGAACACCTTGGAGTTTCAAATAATATAACAAAGCATATTATCCTGAGCCATATAGCCAAAATGTGCATGGAAAATAAATCAATTTCACAAATAGGCCACTTTCTATAACTCTAAAATTTTATAAGGTCCAACTGTTTGAAAATTCCACTTTAGCAAGAACAAAGTAGGTCAATGCTTTTTAAGGGGCTGCTTGTAAGTGGCATGAATAACTTGTTTAAGAAAAGATTTATTTAACTATTTCTTATCTCCCCAAGTGATTACAGCTGAAGTTCCTATAAAACACTGCTTTTAAACTACTACAGTTATAAATATATATGAAAGTATGCTTATAAAACATATGGCTGGCACATCAACCTGAAAATTTACAGTATCAACTYAGTTTCATAAACATAAAGAGCTGAACTGGGAAAAAGTTAAGCAATACCAGAAAGCATATGCAGACTCCTAGACTGAATATTGTCCTCCAGAGGATCAATGTCGAAGATGGAGCCAGGATCTGTGCGCCAAACTTTAAGATCTTTTTCCAAGCACAGAAATTATAAGACAGACAAACAACAAAGGAAGTAAAAGCRTGAAAGGAATGAGCTTTGACAATCAGCAATCAGTTTCCTTCATTTARAAATTAACCAAAATATCTATGTATTCACCCGGAGAGATCAGAAAGCAATAATTTCCTGCTTAAAAGAACTTAGTATTTMATTTTAAGCATTGACACTATTTTAAGGAGACTTTTGCCCCCAATTTTTTTGGTTTTTCTAAACATGACCATAGTATTTTCTTAAGTGTCACCTATTAGAGCTGCCTTCCAGTAGCAGAACCAAAATCATCAGAGCTACAGGATTGTTTCCCCAGTTCCCCAGCAGCATCCTTACTGTGTGGGGATGCTGCAGTAGATACTCCCATAGATGACAGTATAAAGTAAAAAGTTCCACAGCTGACACACTCTCTTTTGTACACAGGAGAGATCATGTCAGCCTAATAGGAAAAAAAATCACGGGCATAGCTCATCTTATCCAAAATAAATTTCTACTAATTGCTTAATTGATGTAAACTCAAAAACAACCATCTTTCTTAATTAGTACCAAAAAAATGAACTAAAGCGACAAATTCAGCTGTAAAAATCTATAATGTACACATCCACTGCATGAAGCCCACTCTTGATCGTAGTAATTCCCTCTGCCAGTGTGTGCCCAGGTGCCCAAGAAGGCCAATGGCATCCTGGCCTGGATCAGCAATRGTGCAGTCTGCAGGACCAGGGCAGTGATCGCCCCTCTGTACTTGGCCCTGCCRAAGCCACASCTCRAGTTCTGTGTCCAGTTCTGGCCCCTCAATTCAGGAAGGACATTGAGGTGCTGGAGTGTCCAGAGATGGGCAATGGAGCTTGGGAAGGGTGTGGARCAYGAATCTGTGAGGAGCAGCTGAGGGAGCTGAGGATGTTTAGCCTGGAGAAAAGGAGGCTCAGGGRTGACCTTATTGATYCCTACAACTGCCTGCAAGGAACTTGYAGTGAGGTGGGAATAGGTCTCTTCTCCCAGGTARTAAGTGACAGGATGTGAGAAAATGTGCCAGGGGAGGTTTATATATTGGATATWAGGAAAAGACTCTTCACTGAAAGGGTTGTCAAGYGCTGGAACAGGCTGCCAAGGGAAGTGATTGAGTTACCATCCCTGGAGATATTTAAAAGTTGTGTTGACATGATGCYTGGGGACATGATTTTGTGGTGGGCTTGACAATCCTGGGTTAATGGTTACCTTTGATGGTCCTAAAGYTCTTTTSCAATCTAAATGATTCCATTATATCTGCTATGTCTAAAATAAAATAGTCTTTAAATCTTTTCAAACCAGTTTCAAATAAAACCTTGATGTAAAGCATAATCAGTCAAAGAACCCATCTACCAGATCACACATTTTTACTGGGGAGTTTGTTCTTGGGCAGACCTGTCTGCAAGATTTATTCCAAATATTGGAACTAGGAAAAAAAATTTTCTTCCCAACTTTTTTCTTTTGCTGGTTTGAGTGATACTGAGCTAAATAATGGATTGGTAGCTACATTAGGACTGTAAGGACCAGAAATATGTCACATTTCAAATTATTAATAGCCTAGATGCAGTGGAAAGAACAGACAGAACTAACAAAATAAATCCCATAGCTTTAGAATACATTCAGTGTATGTACATTATACATATCTACCACAACTCCCATAAGKTGAGGTATAACTCCTTCCTGCCAAGATAAATTAAAGCCAACACAAAACCTTTGATAAACTGTGGGTTAGTCCTAACAGTGATAAATTATACACCTACATAAAGGAATGACAGGCATSAGAAGGGGTAGGGGAATTGGTGAACACCCAACTTGTCCTGTTTGATCATTCCTTAGTAAGTAAAAATGTAAGTATGGCTTCATGGCAGCACCAGTGCAACAGCCACTGATTTGTATTGATTTTATCCATCTCTGTAATCTGAAATAACATACATAGAATTAGAATCTTGGCAACTTATAACACAAGTCAATTTTAAATCCCTGGTAACTTTTGCCAAGTTAATATATCCTTATATTCATGTGAGAATTGTGGTTCCTCTTTAGTAACAGATCCAAAGYTCACTTAGATCAATTTATTTTAATGGGTTTAGACTGGCTTAGTAGGGTTAAAACTAGTGCCCATTTGCCAAAGCAGAGTCATTCATTTTAGCAACCAGGCATTTGAAAAAGTAGTTACAGCTTCACCAATAATACATGAAAAATCAACCAGARGGATTCTAACACACTTTTCCTAACYGGYTGAAAAATTTTCTGCTATGAAAAATACTCACGAGAGTCATAGGTATGTTTTTCAGTTTGTAAGTTTTTTTTGAGCTACCAAGGACATTTCATGGGCAGCGAGTTCATTGCTTCTTTTTAAACAAGTAGGTATTTTAATTGCAATTTTACTCCCAAAAAAAGCATTAGCTAAAATATTTCAGGTTTATCATGGCCTTTTGTCTTTAAATGTACAATTTTTGCTGCTTGGCAGGCATAGGAATTTCTGTGTGTCTTGAGCCTGGAGTATTTTTAGGCAATAAACAGTCCTAACATCTCAGCTCTTACAGCTCAAGGATCTATCTCAGGAATGTCCTTAATTCCAACTTGCTTGTGCTGTCAAGGCTTCAGCTGCTGGACACGGGATTGCAGACGTGGTTCTCACACAGGACCRCAGCACTCGTGCAGTGCAGACAGAGCAGAAGGTTTGCAGCGTGCACTAAGCAGCACATTGCAAACTGAATATCACTCCATTTTACAGGAGCCTTTCCTTTCTCTTTGGCTGCACCACTTCGAGCTATGAAAGCGAGTAGTGATGGAAGATCATCAGAACCTTGCCCAGGCAGAGCTCTCTAAACACACACATTTGAGAAATCCCTTCTCATGGAAGGCTCTAGCTACAGACACATAAAGGATGGCAACAAAAAAGGAAAGAAATAAACTTCCTTATGGGGGGAGAYTCATTTGGAGATTTTAAGGAAAAGATTGAAAAAGCATCTGACAGGAATTATATACCTAACCTTGCTTTAGGCAGGAGATGGCCTGTGTGAACCATCAATTAATCCATTTTAACTAAATTTCTCTGGTTTTTGAGAGGCAAGCTTAAAGTCAGTCTCACTGTTATAACTGTTCATGAAGGATTTTAGAGTGCTATCTCACTATGGTTTTTTGTATGCAGATCCTCTACATAGTTGTAAAGCATAGAAAAACAGAAAAGGGACACACCAAAAGAAAAGGAAATTAGGCATAAAAAAGAGTCAGTTTACAATTTCCTTTGCCATAGCAGACCTGCTGACTTTTAAGCAATTTCAAATACCCTCTTTGATTTTTAAGTASAGTTCATTATGATTATGCCAAATAATATCTTAATGCAATACCTTGTCCTTACATACAAATCTAATCTGCATTCTACCCCCTGAAAACTCATTCTTATCTTGGGCCATCTTTCAGAACATCATTTCTAAATACTGGTGCTTGGCTYACCAGATCTAATGAGTTAGTGTTGAATTACAGCTTGAGATATTTTTTAAGCCCTGTGAAATTCTGAAACAAGCGGTAAATAGATATGTGCACATCTTAGAGAAAARTTACTGACAGAAGGGGAAACAGCAAACTGGCCTGCAACTTTTAAACATTCAAATCTTAGGGARTCAATTTGAGTCTTTTTTTTCTGTGCAAAATTTAGATTATTGTCAATATTTTGACCTTCCTTATAGAGTCAAATTTCACTTTTAAAGTAATAGCAACAACCATCCATATTTTTATAAAAAATTGCAAAGCAAATGATAATGTATATCTCATTCATTCCTATCATTACTTCACTAGAAACTGTCATGGAACCATTAGCTCAAGCATAAGTTTCATGCTGAGAAAAGAGTGAAAATGAAATCTGGAGAGCACAAGCAGGAGCTCTAATCTTCCCCACAGTGCTTTCAATAACAAYAGTATTTAACAGCTTACCAACAATTATTCCAGGTCTTCTATCCATTTCAACGATATGTGGATGCACACCTTTATATGCTGCATCACTCACAATTTGGGTGTTTTTCCGTACACGCTCTGTTATAGGATCATCTACCACTGGGGTGAAGCCTCTGCCCTTTGTCTTCTCAAAATCTTCATGATATTTTACCTAGGTAAACAAGGAGAATTACATTTTTCCCCAGGTTGCAATTGACAGCAAATGGTTATTTTATGCAGGAACGCATACATATATGTTTGGTTTATGAGGCACTTACATTCTTTGACTTTGTACCACAATAGAATTGCTGCACACATGAGACAGGCAGGGTGGCCAGCCAAGTCTTTCCTATCACCTTAACTTGATTTCCTGATATTTTACTGTCAATTTTGCATTTCTTTTCCATTGACACTGAATTAGGCACTAGCTTAAGCAGCAAAGCATCACCTCATTATCATAGAGGACACAAAACAACTCTGCCCTCAGGAAGTCAACTGGTCCATTGCCTTCTCCTCTAAGATAAGATAGCTGTCTACTGATGCAGACAACTACATCTGTCAATAAAATTGTTCCAGTAGTAGTTCTAAAGAACTCAAACATTTTTGTTCACTGATCATTTTGACCATATCCACAGTATCATACCAGATGTATACTCTGCTCTTTTGTTTTATCATATACTCACTGGCTTTAAAAATAGGTTTTTAGAAAGAAYAACAGTTATTCTAAACAGCCTGCTTTTAAAAAAAAAATATTAAAAACAAGGATATTAGAGTAGGAAGTGTTACAGCACCAAGTGTAGGAACAAAACCCCAGTATTAGTACGAGTTATAAAGGTAGTACTGCTGATTATGCATATTTACTTTATAAATAACTTAATCATCAATGAATTAAATTGACAAACATTCTCACACAAGCCAACGCACGCAAAACAACTCATTCCAAGAACCAAAGTCACGCAGAAACCAGGAACATGCACAGGCACAAGGTGAAGTGTGTCACCTAATCCAGTGAAATTGTGATGCTCAAATGACGTGTGTACATTTTTAAAGAAAAAAAAAACAAAAACAAAACAACATTTAACTGTTAGAAAACTGTTTTATTAGTATTTTGAAAATGTTCATTACACTCCTATGAGTTAGCAAACGCTCCCTCTACAGGCTTAAGAAGAAAATGTTCCTTCCATACCTGAGGAGAGAGTTTCATTAGTTACCTATATTAATGGAAGGCAAAATCCAGTGGAAGTCAAGTGCCATTCCTTAGTAGGCTCTAGTTATAGGAAGAAAGTCCCCTACCATAGAGATGTTGTTTTGTGTTTCTTTGACATGCCTTAGCTCAGGTGTGTCTAGAAGCACACTACGTCTACCTTTCATCTGCCTCTGATCACTGCTGTACTTGACCTGCAAAACAGCAACAACAGCACAGGTGAATTGTTTGTTTGCAGCAGAAAGGACGGTGAGAATCACACCATGCAACATCACCCTTTCAAAGCCCGACAGTTCTCTTCTTTCTTGAYACTCACGTGCTGGTGAATTATTCCACAGTGAGGATACAGACAGGTTTGTATATTGGTAAGGCCAAAAGGCACATTTATTCCATCAATCACTTACTCAAAAGACAATATTTATTCAAAGGCTGAAATTTGTGACTGTTTAAATTATATAAATTAAATAATTTGTCAATGAACTGRAAAAATAAGATAAATAATAAGAAAACAACACTGTGACTTAGAACATCCTTAAAACATATTTGTATAGCTGATGACAAACTACCYTCTTATTACCCAGACAGACACAGAGTCTGTTCTCAGTCTTTTTCCAGGTTGGGATTACCTGAGACCCCCAAGGAATTCAATTCTTACAAGTGGATTAATCCTTTGGAAGCCTTCTTACTCCTGTCCAATAGCTAGTCTTTATTACCAGCACAGAGAAACATGTCTGGGAAGAATCTGAATATTCTGTTTCCAAAATGAGCTTTTGGGGTTTGTGTTTTGTGCATCGTTAAGTACAGAATCTCTTATGTCATATTTCTTCTTTTTAGCTTATTTTGTGGCATTTTACAGACAAGTAAAGATATAAGGCTAATTATCCATTAAAAAAATAAGGAAAAAAAACACTCAAAATTTTAAATAGTAGAAGTAGTTGGTCATATTGGTTAGGGAGTGAGTACTCTTACAGTTTTTTCTGTCTTGTTGAATTCTTCTACCAATGGCCTCTCTTAGATCCTGCATTACATCATAACTTGTGCACTGTGTTACTAAATATTTTAGATTTACCTAGGTATTCATACTCCAAGTACTACTTCCCAAATGAGTTGTGCAAACATGTGTTTGTGATGAGAGAAACCATGTCTTGAAACTCTATAACCCTCCTTAAGATTACATATTGGCTATTGAAAAAATATTGGCTATTGAAAATATGTCTGTATGTCTGTGTTTCATATGTAAGTTTGAAGTAATGCACAGAAACAAAAATATATTGTACTGCATATTCTTCAAACCCCTTTTAATTAAACAGTAAATTCTCTTAGAAAATATATTCAGCTACATATGGTTTTGAATATAAGGTATTTTCTGGACAGAATAAATACAGCCAACATAGGCTGGTTTTCATCAATCTCATTAACATAGAGGAGCATTTATTCCCATAAATCTTGAGAAACAAAGTTAAGGAGTCACTTAGCAAAACACATTTCATTTTCACAAACTAAAGAATTATTTAAAACTTGTTGAACAGATTTCCTCGTATTTGCAACTATGCACCTCAAAACTAACTGACTTTGGTAAATATTCATGATCATTTTAAGAACWTGATTAAGATCTGTGCAGTTACAATGTCACATTCCGTTCCCTTGTCCTTAGACAAATTCTGTGACAAATCCAGCCTACTTTACTTTTCACTCCTACACTGAAGTGTTCATTATCTGTAATTCTCTTCTGCCACCTTGACTCAGTGGTTCTGCATGAAACCTCTTCTATTTACCATGTGCAGCCACTGTTGTTGCTTCAGTGCTGAGAGAAGACTGTAACATAATTGGTCTTATCCTTCATTTCACAATGCTTTTTGCACTTCTTCCTTGCTCCTTAATAGAATTGTCCCCTGCCTCTTACACCACTGTAGCAGCAATTACATTTTATTATCATAAAAGCCAAGATGCATAYATCATCTTACTCTTTAGTATTAGCCTGTTAGGAACTAATCAGTTCTAACGTAAGTGGCACGTCACAGAGTGGAATAGATGCTTCCATCCTTTGAACCATAAAGAAAAAAACATTTGCATTGAGGTTAAATTCTCATTTCCTTTGTTCTTTATTGCAATTCACACCTGCAGTCTAGCAACTCAAATTTCATAACAAAGGACAAAAATTCTTGAAAGAATGAYTGAGCTCTACTGACTCTCTCCTTGAAAAATACTGGCACCAACACAACCACTTTCTTTTTTGCAAGAATAATCAGGCAACCCTGAATACGTTTGTTGMACATATGTGCAGTGCATGTCCTCAAAGAATAAAACCAATATCTGTTCAGTGAACAGCAGTTGGATTTTTGACAGATCAAATGCAAAAGGAAAAGCATATCCATGTTCATATTTCTACAAYGACTGAAAATCTGAATGACAAAAAGATTCAAACAACTTGCCGAGCTGATATTATCTTGATTCTTCTTGACTCTCTCTATCTCAGGGGTGACACTCACAGCAGTAGCTTTGCCAGGCTGCTCTCTGTAGTGAACCTGTTATTTAACAGAATAAAATATATATTCGTACTATTTCAGCTACAGCAATATCTCATTGCTTTATGTAAAAATGCATGATTTTAAAGGTCATCCAGGAAACAACTGAAAAGATAGGAGGTAGCTGAAGATAATTAAAGTTTATAAAAGTTGATTTTTGAAAGCTAACCTTCGAATTTTTTTTTTCTGTACATGGTGTTTATTAATGCATTTCTGTGGCTCTATACCCACATATGCACACAATATCTTGACATTTACCAGACTGGCCCTTGGCTGTACAGAGAAATATCTCATATTTGGAATGGGGTTAAGCCACAAATAATGCATTAAAGACAGGCAGACCATATGAAAAACTGAATTTCAGCATGGTCCACTGCAAATATATATTTGTCAAGATGCAGCAATTCCATCTATGTGTCAAGACACAAGGTCTCCATCTATGTTCTAAGTTGTATAAACTACATATTCAAAGGTGATTAAACCAGAAGGTGCAGTACTTCAGACAACTGACAATTAAATCCAGTCTAATTTCACTTGTATTTATTTAAATGCACTGTAGGAACATCCCCTTTATCACTTTTAACATAACCCTTGATGCATTAACCAAATGCACTCTCCAGACTGGATCAGATCTAAGGCAGACAGAGGACAGGATGTGGCACTGACAGACAACCAGTCCAATGTTAACCTTGGCCCCACATGCTGGGAAACCAGATATGGTAAATATTTATTAATAAATTCTGGCAACAAATTTATRCCAATTCATACGGTTTTAAGCAAAATAAATGTTTTAATACAAAAATGAGCTCTTGGTTTAAGTGATAAGGTTAAATGTGCAGATATATTATGCTCATAATTCTGCAGTGAACCCTGGCAGTTAGGCATCTATTCCTTAGGCAATTTTTTTCCAGCACAACACAATTTTGGTCTGCCCACATCAATGTATTCCAACTGATAAAGACTTACAAAAATGAGGTAAAATAACAAATGGATTAAACTCACAAATTAACATTTATAATGGTAAAAAGATTATTCAAGAATTATGTTCCTAGAAATGGCTGATGTTAAAAAATCTTCACTCAAAGCTATTCTAGTGTCTTGAAAAGGATTTAAACTTTCCAGTGAAATTTGCACAACATAAAAATTGGTGAAAARTAAATCACAAAGTGAATAGAGAAACTATACAGACTGGCTTGAATCGCTTGGAAAAACAGGGTTTTTTGRGCAGAATACATTTTAGGAAAGCTAGATATATCAACAATAATCCAGAAGCTGAGTTAGAAGGACAGAATTTCTGACTAATGTAACTCAAAATTAATTTTGGTGAATGCAGCAGAAAGCCCCCCAGAGAAACACTGTGGCTATCTGTGGACCCATCGAYTATGACTGCTGATGGTGATATAACAACATCATCAGTGCAGGAARGCAGTAGCACATTCCAGCCCTTGCCTTCTTCTCTGTGCTCCTGCAAATCATGTGACTTTCTATTGGTTATGTCAGCCATTAAATACTGAATTCTGATGSGAAGGTTACTGACGAACCAGGAGACAGGTAAAAGAGCAGAGGTTTGAGTWAAAAAGAAAARTAAAGAAAAATAAATTGGTCAAGATTTCCTGCAAAATCCAAGGCAGAGAATAACATCTCAAAGCATTGCAGCCATTTCTTTAATAGAATATGTGATGCTTCATGTGCCATTTCCCAATTCAAGCAATGCTTTTTCACAATTACTTCCTAAAAGAAGGAATTTAAGTAATTCTGTTACTTGAATTCCAATACATTACAATACATTAGTTTCCTGCTGACTAAAGAAAAGGTTTCAGAAAGCAGAGCTTTGTAYTCGTCTTGTGCACCCAAAAATTATACAAAGGATTAAAGGACAGGAACTTCCCATGCTGACATTCTCTTGATTCCTCTTGACTCTTTCCATCTCAGGGGTGACACTCACAGGTGTAGCTTTGCAGAGCTGCTCTTTGTACTGAACCTAGCAAACAYGTCAGAAGATATAACAACAGAGATTTCCAAGTAACAGAAATACAAAAGTGCTAGACACTGAAGAGCACACTGCATTTGGATGGAAAATACCATTCCTTAATAATCAACCATCTCTTTCCACACAATGTTTASTACTCACCCTCTTGCAGTTCTATTTCAAACACAGACAATGGTTACATCAACAGGAATACTTCACTGTCATTCTTATTAATCAAAGGGGAAGGGCAAGGCTAAGGAATKATCATTTTACCATTAATGGATTAAAACAGTCTTTGTGGACAAACAGAAACTAACACAAACACCATAGACATATTCACCAAGACACAAACAYATTTAATACAGCCGAGAGGAGTGTGCAAACAATGAAAATGGGGCACACATTGCTGATATTCTTCTGGTTTTCCTTAACTCTCCTTAGTTCAGGTGGATCAGAAATAGTTGTTGCACGCTGAAKTTCTTCCTTGTATTTAATCTGGAAAAAAGATATTACAAAAATATTAGCAATTTAAAGAAGATAGAGACAGGCACTAGAACACATCAATCACTTCGTACTCTCTCCCTTATATCTACTGCACAACTGGAGCACATGTACAAACACCACTGGAACAGTTATATTAAATTTCTGAAACAGTCTGCTAGGGTCTCTAATGCATCTTRTGTGATGCACTGCAGCAGAGAGTGCATTTAACAATTCCAGTGTACTAGAATTCTTACAGAGGGAATATACATCACATGGGATTGTGGCTATTTCCATGATAATTGGGATGCTGCATATCCTACTTGGAGACCCACACCACTYTGACAATGCTTGGTCCTGCTGTTATGTTGCTATGGTGTCTACCATTTCAGGATAGTAGACTGGAGTCCTTTTCAGAAACCAAGCCTTTTAGGGGTTGCTAAAAGSGTTGATGGCTTCAAAGTCTCATTGAAGTTTTCTAAAAACACATTCAGACACACAGGTGAGACTGTGGTTGTCTGGATGGTTGATGCCTTCGCAGGTGCTCTCAGATATTTAGAGTTTTTTTCTAACATTTAATTTTCAGGTCTCTTCTCTCCAAGACATGGTACTTCTTGAGAGAGCCAAATTTCTCAGCACAGACAAAACAACTYATTTTTCTCTAAGCTCATACTTGGAAACTGCTTTGACTGAAATTTATAAATAAATAAAACCAAACCAGCCTGAAGCACAGGAATGGAAAACTTGAGTCCAGACAGTTTAGGATTGCAAAAATACTAAAGCACTGGAAAAAAAAGGGGTCTTTTAATAGAGACTATTAGGTAAGTTTAAGAATTGGCAGTGCTACTGGTCCTTAAAATGCTTCAAAATGTCTGCTACTTGAATTTTAGTCAGACCCCAGCTTTGTGGTATTGACAGACATACGACATTCCTCACAGATTTCCCACAAACAGACTCTTTTCTACAYTCCCTTGTGTAGAAAAACACAAACAGACTCTTCTCCCAAAGTGCTGCTTCTTCCCAGAGCTCTGTCCAACCCTGCCCGCCCCTCAATATAAACAAGTGTTTTTTGAAGTCCTTACTTATTTGTAGCTTTTCAGCTCAGATTCAGTTACAGCTCTTTCTGTTTAGAAAGCTGCTTCTTCCAAACCCAACATCACAACAGGTGAGATGAGCTCAACCTCCTTGGCTGTATTTTAGGCTTTGAAAACACCATTCTGATGTTTGTCTCCTACGTATGTAACCTGGAAGAACCTGATCACTTTCAGAACATGATTCAATGGACTTTTTCATGTGGTTGGTTGTACAGTAAGTGTTATTTTGGTGCCTTGGTGTTTCTTTCACTGCAAATTTGCTTCACATTCCACAGTTCGATTTAGCTCAGAAAATAGTTTTAAAGCTGCCCCAAGTTCCTCTGGCTAAATTCAAAAATATGTGTAAAATATTTAAATCTAATGGATTCAAAATCGGTGTAATTTACCCTTCCTTTGGGACCCCTGTAAATTACACAATACAATTTCCCTCTTACTGCACAATATAATTTCCTTCTCACTGACATATAATTTGAAACGTTCTTGTACATTGCTTTTAAATTTGGCATTCTACACCTCTAATAAATATTATACAAGACTTAAATAATTTCAAGTACACTACATGCAATAAAATACGTTTTGTAAAATATTAACTCTACACAAAGAGTAGCAAGGTAAAGGCCATGCTACTTACATCACACCACTACACACTAATGCATTTTGTCTTTCCTTTGGTATGTTTTTGTCAAGTGTGTTTACTAGCATACTGATTGACCTTTAATTTTCCCTCTTCACCACTATTTAGGATTTCTAAAACAGCAAGAAGGCTATACACTAGTTTTCCATTTCACTTTGCAAGGTATTGTGAAAAAACATTAGAGTAAAACTTCTCCCAATAAGTCTGTATGTCTGTGTGTTAGTGTCACTACTCTTCAAACACAAGTCTGTGGTAACTGGACGTATTTAAAAAAACCAACCAAAAGAAAAACCAAMCAAACAAAAAAATGCCACCCTTAAATCAAGCAAACCAACAGCTTTCCAACCAAAAGACTTCAACTACTCAATTACTCAACTATTTCAACTATTTCAGGATTTAAGACCTATGATAGCTTGTACTGTGACTCAGAATGACAAGATGAAAAGTGATGAATAGAGCAGAAAAAAAATCCAAGGAAAATATGAGCTTTTCGATTTTTTTTTTAAATTCTCTACCTGACCTTACTTTGGTGGAAAATTGTTTAATGCTATTCACTAAACAATTAAATTCTGTGAGAATGGGTGTCCACAGTCCCTAATTCATATTTTAACTAATATTTAAACACAACATAGTGTGATGTCTCTACATTATTTTCATACTTTACTTTTAAGAAAACATCTAATCATCTGAAAAGTCATGTCACAAACATAAAAACTGCCCCAGAGAAGTCCCCACCAAACAGAACAAAGAAGTGAACAATGCAGTTAAAAGGGTTTTCTTGCTTGGCACTCACTTTTCTGCTTTTGTCCAAGTATTGCCACATATTTATCAGAAGAGAATGTYCTATTTGAAGCAAACAGTTATTCTGATATTTTGTTTTTAGTTGCCTATTAACTGCCAAAGATGTTGTGCATCCAYAAATAAACAATATCAATTCAGAACCAGTCTCATCAAGTCCACAGATCAACTTCCCATCACACCTAAAGAGGCACCAACTCTCCACCTTTTCCCACAGTTCATGTCTGGACATAGTTTTTCTGTTCTGGAAGTGCAAACTGTATCCAATCCTATGCAATACATGCAGTCTCTAACAGAACATCACAGATTTTCTTTTTCATAACATGGTATTTTTCTAAACTGCCAAAGCAACTGCTGTTCAGTCTGTCATATGGGGAAATATAGCTCATATTTCTCGCTCTTGAAAGACTTACCTAAAATATTATCTTATTTTTCATAATGCTTCAATTAGAAACTCTGTCTTTGGGCTCTGAAGAACCACACTAGAGGGGAGTTTTATCTGTGCTAGAACAGAGCTCTGTATCCAAAATCAGTGGACCACTATTTGAATGAGATGTGTGACATGAAAATGAATCATTTTCCAACAAACAAGATAAAAAAAAAAATTGTTCCACCATTTACTCACATCAGAATAATTTATGTTAATAGCACTTACCGAACTAATATTCTGTTGATTTTTCTTTACTCTTTCAATCTCTGGAGTATCTTTTACAGCTGTGCCAGCTCCTACTTCCTTCTTATAAAACACCTTCATTTCCCCAAAAGAAAAGAAAATTATGAGACTGTTAGCAATGCAAATACAAGTTCTCATAAAAGGGCTAGGCAATTTTCCAAGTTCCAAATTGGTCTGACTATAAATCTTGTTAAGAAAGCAAATACTTTAATTTTTCATAAATCAGAGTAATTACCAATAAATATGATAGCATTGTTTGCTTTCAACTGTAACCCAGACAATATATTCTCATCCTCTAACTGACCTTTGTATTTTTCAGTATTCACACTGACATATTTAAATTTGAAAAAAATATTAAAATTTATATTATAATCTATAAAGTTTTACAAATGTAACTTTATGCTTGAGTAATTTCATTCATTTCAATGTAATTGAAGGTGCATGTACATGCTGGATTTGATTTGGTGTCTTTAGTCTTCAGATCTTAAAAAACTGTGAGAAGTGAACAGACATTACTACTATTTCTAAGTTAACAAACCAGAAAATTGAAACATTCATGGAAAAATAACCACAACAACCAGAGCTACAAGCTACGTCATGCAATTCTGGGCTCCTGAGCTCAGGCCAGAAAGCTGGGGACTGCATCTAAAAACAAAATTCACTTCTGGAAAGATACACAGGCCTSTTTACACAATTTTCCTATTTCAATTGTTTCAGTAAATGATAAACACAAAGTACATCAGCAGAATTRATCATTTAAAGTTAATAAAAGAGACAGTAAATAACTCCTCCACAATTTCCAAGCATGTTTGTAACTTAAACAAACATGGAGCACCAGTTCATGCTGCAAAACTCCTAAAGAAATTTTACTTGATTTTCAGTATTTAATGTCACAGCTGTTGCCACTCTAGTAAGTATTTCCAGTCTGGTAGTGTGAAAAACAAGTCTGATCCTGAAGTCAATAAAATTAATCTTTAMCACTGAGTATTTCTGCCTTTCTTACACCAAGATTTATTTAATTTTTCCTATCAATAAACTTTAAACAGTAAAACCATCATTCTTGATAAATTTCTCCTCCTTCCTTGAAGTCTTTCACAGCTTGGGGTGAATAGTACTGCCAAATATCCTAGAGGGGAGTGAATGCCCACAACTATTTTTTTTAATATTCAGAAAACCTTGAACCATCTCGAATTTTGTTTTACCATGTGAGAACAGAGACCATTTATGAGTAACTACTTGAAAATTCTTCCGCACTATGTCAGTTGGAAAGATTTCTATTTTGGACCAGACCACAATATACTTTTCTCCTTTACCAAGGAGAGATTGGTAAAATATGTTGGAGACAGRAATTTTTCTATGGAAGAAATGACTGTGAAGTAAATATCCTATTATAAATCATCTGCCAAATGAGCTAGTGGGCTAAAAGCAGCAACGATCTTATCTGCAGACCTAGTTGCTTTTTTTGTCCCTTAAGGGAGAAAAATAATTGAGACAAAATACAAAAAACAGAAGAGTATTAGGTGTCATTACTTTTTTATGTATTTGGGCTGCTTCCAGCTGTATCTTARCTCRGTAGGAAGTAACTTACCTTTTTAATCTAAACTGCACAGGASGATGAAARRWTWAAA